CTAATAGTTTATTAAGATGCTAATAAACAAAGTCCGGTCCCTGTCACAGAGTTCGGGTCGCCGCGTGTCGCCGCCCAGTTCCCCCACTCCGTTAACCCTTCTTTAGAAATTGACAACATTTGCGCAGGTTTAAAACCGGTGTATGTTATATCTCTGGTCTCTTTTATCTAAGGTTAGAACCGATGTATCGTTATGTTAAAATAAAGGAGAAGCATATCCAACATAGAGAAGATAAATGTAGAATAAAACATAAATAAGAACTTCACTTTGATAAAATGATGTTGGAAGATGGACCCATATCTCATTTAAAATAACAGAGCCTGCAACAAAAAAATGTCAATGAACATCTATTTTCCTTGTATTTTAATTATTGTAAAACTCATATTTATTAAAAAATCTTTTGAAGTTATGTCGATTTATTTATTTATTTGCTTTGTTTAGGAAGGGGGTAAATATAAAAGAAATTCTCTTCACAGAAGTGTATAATCGACACTTAGTACAGGTACAGTTCACATTAATCTAGAGATGATAATAATAATAATTATTACAGTATCAAAACGAGATTAAAAAAAAATCATTCTGGTCAAATTATAATAATTAGAATATCTAGAATGCCATTTTAAAATACAATTAGTTAAAAAATAGCTCAACATTTTTTCAAGGATAACAAAAATTGCATGTTCTCATGTTGTGAGTAAAAAAATTAATTAATTATCATTATCTTTGCTAACAATTTGTAAACGTTCGTTATTTTAAATTATTTGACGAAAGCATGTTGAAAATTATATGCTGTGTTCCTATTATCGGCACGTGGAATTGTGAAACCTGGTACAAATTAATCGTCACGTAGCATCAAGTTTAGAAAAATGTAATCGTGTCTACCCTTACACAATTTAAATTACTCTTGTTTGAATTTTATTCAATAATATGATGTATGGTTGATAATACCGGCATAAAGTGATCAAAAGGAGGTGAAATTGAAAAGAAAACCGTTATATAGTTGTGTCCTATAATCAATCAAAATGTAAACCTAAGAAATCTCTCCAAAATAACAAATCAAATAATATAAATGAGAAATGATGCTAGACAAAAAATTATCATTAAGAGCAATTCGTACCTCTCGCGAAAAGTATTTTTCTAATGTAAAATTGTATTTATATGTGCGCTACTGGGAATATTTCGCGATATTATGTGTCTCGAGAATATTAAGAGCTCTAAATTTTTGCAACGATAAGGCAGCACTGTAGAAACATTTAAGAAAAAAGGTGAGAAACTCGTGCATGAAACACTACTAGGTATTTATTAAATACAGAAGGGTGTGTTAATTTTTTAATTCCTTTTAAAAATTATCAAAATGAAGGTTTTTTCATCCTAAGTTTTATTATTTATTTTAAGTTCAAATTATTCAATCTTTTCAAATAGAACACCTTAATATTATTTTAAAATAAAATCTATATATATAAAATTGTTTGTCCTGACTGACTGACCTATCAACCTACAGCCAAAACTACTGAGTCTAGAAAGCTGAAATTTGGAACATAGGTTTATTTTATAACATAAGCTTCTAAGAAAGGATTTTTGGAAATTTTAACTTTAAAGGGGGGAAATGGGAGGAAATGGGGGAGGGAGCTTTTAATGAAACTCTTTGTTCTTTAAAGTTAGAAACATGAAAATTTAAATTACAGCTACTGAGCATAAATAAATAATGACGTGTTTCAGGGTTTTTGGATTTTTTACATTTTAAGGGGGGGAAACGGGGGGTGAAAGTTTGTAAGGGACTATCGATTTTTTTTGTTCTCTATTAAGTTAGAAACATGAAAATTGGAATTGCAGCTACTGACTACAAATTATTAATGACGTGTTTCAGGGTTTTTGGATTTTTACATTTTAAGGGGGGAAATGGGGGGTGAAAATTTATTTGGGAGTATCCATGTTTTGGTTCTCTTTAAAGTTAAAAACATGAAAATTGGAATTGCAGCTACTGAATACAAATTATTAATGACGTGTTTCAGGGTTTTTGAATTTTCACATTTTAAGGGGGGAAATGAGGGGTGAAAATTTATTTGGGAGTATCCATGTTATGGTTCTCTTTAAAGTTAAAAACATGAAAATTGGAATTGCAGCTAATGAGTACAAATTAATAATAACGTGTTTTACCGAAATGATACCTTAACGGTACCATTGCGGAAGGCGCGACAGACGACAACAGACGCGACTGAGATCGGTCTTTTCACATCTGAAGACATTCAATTATATAAAACACATTTCGCATGGCGCGACACTTCCGAGAGACATATCTCGACGATACTTTGGATCGGTCTCCGGGCAAAACGTTTGCTGCGTGTCGCACTCGAGGTCACTGTCCTCAGATATCGCTTGTATTTGGAGGTGATTAGTCGATATTTTATAGAATTGGTAGTTGGAAAGTTCTTTCGATCTAGGCAGTGTTGCCAGATGCTGGTACAGTATAGGTGAAAAAAAAAAAACCGTAGATCTGAACAGTAGATTTTAATACATGGGGAAATAATTATAATTTGCAGTGTAGTAAATAAAAAAAGTATATAGGAAACGAAAAATAAACATTTTTCTATCCAAATCAGAAAGTAAACAAAGAATAAAAACAAATAATAACATTTTTAATATATACTTAACGTACGTAAAAAAAAAACAATGAAAAATAATAGGTACCTACTTCTTTTAGATCAGTCTGAATCAGATACTTCAAAATCGTTGTGTTTGGCATGCATGTTCTTTTTATGATGCCCTATTAATTCTTTGTTTCATTTTAAATAAAAACAAACCTACAATAGTGGCTGAAGAATAAGACAAACTTAATAAATTAAGAACAAAATTTGCTAGAGATAAAAACAGTGGATCTACTTAAAAACACTAGGTCTGGAAACGCTGATCGTTCCCTCGAATGATTGTCTGCGGGTGTCGTGTCACCGGTCTCCTTGCTTCCCAAATGTACGGAGCATAATATTCATGCATTTGTCGTCCTTGGGGTCGTCTCGGTGGTCTCCTGTCGCGCCTACCGAAATGGTACCTTTAGGATTAAAAATGCTGCTGCCCGATTCGCCTATCGTATTATTTGCTACTACCTGCTTGGTACCCAGTTGATATCCACTCACTATATCGTAGTTAGAAATTCCTTAGCTCCTATTGTGTAAAATTATTATTTTTTTTCCTCTTCTATAAACTTTTATTTCTTTTGGACGACACAAGTGTGACATTACCTTAATGTATAGTTTATTTATCAAATTTATTTTTATTTATTGAATTGTTTATTTAATGTATGTATTTTTTATTGAATAAAGCAGATTATTATTAATATTAAAGGAATTATCTTTATAATATCATGTTCGGGCTTGTGCAATACATTCTTAAAGACCTCCGCAATGGCTGGTAAAATAGACTGCTCTCCAATTGTGTGGGGTTTCCCCGACTTCGCTATTAGCAAAGATATATTATAGGACGTCTTGCATACATCGATCTTATATGGACTGCCTTTTTTCTAGTTTTTCTTTAAGTGTTTGAAAGAATGACAAGGGCTTACTTTTTTTATAAAGATGTACTATAGATAAGTGGCCCTCCTTTTTTAAAGGCATCTTTACTGAATGCTTTTTTACTTATGAGACACATCGGCAAGTGTTGATTTGATAGAGAGAGAATAAATTCAAACTTCAAGTAGTCCAAACTGTATTGTCTGCATTTTTTTTCGTGTCTGTTATCATAAAACACGCAGTAAACTAGCAAATAAAAAAAAGTTTAAGAAACTACTTAAAAAACAATAATAAAACTGTTAAATTTGCACACGAGCTTTTTTTGATCATACCTAGGCACTGGATATTTTTTAGGTATGCTCACGAAATTACTCATTGATAAACTTTGATATAATTACTGTAATATAGAACATTTGTATTAGGTACCAATCAGTAATAAACAAAAACAAAGATAACTGAACATTTATAATTTTAGGTAACTAAAGTAATTTCAAAAAATATTAAAACGATTTTTGGTACTTACTCTGCTACTGTTTCATAAATTGCAGAAACGTATGGTTACGCTATTAACGCGCGTAGGTAACTAAGCACTTTGTAAAGTCTTTTTCAATCGGTTTATTTTAATTAACTTTATTAAATGTTATATTTTATACTCTTTGATTAAACTATGTAATCACTTTGTAATATCTTAAATGTATTATCATTCAAGCTCCAACGAATTTTAAAACATTAAGTAACTTTAATCTGTTATTTATTTACTTTTAAGGGCCGGTTGTACAATAAGCAGTCAAAATGTAAATTTAGTGTGACATTTGTACTGTAATCGGATAATAAAACTCCGTTCAAAAAAATAATCATTAAAAACTTAAGTAATTGTAAAAAATGCCTATTTTTATTATTTTGTTTCAATAGAATAGTCATTATTTAAAATAAAGTTATTTGTTTTTACCACAACCCTGGAGCTGCACCCAGTATTTATGGACCTGTCTGCCATTGGATTTAACGGTGTACACGGTGGCAGTGTGGTTAGCTGGTTGTGCTGTTTGTACCACGACCACTATCCATACTTCCTTCGTGAATATCGTTGATGCAACATGAAGATTATACCAAGATGGAGTAATTGCTGTTCGTAACCACTTATTATTTACTGAGATGCACTTAAAAAATTCCCATGTGCTCTTGTTATTAACGTTAATTCGATTAAAATAGGTTTCTAATATTATTTTTTTTTATTATGTGATTTCTAGTAGATAATTAATTATCAGGATGAATTTACGGTTTTTATGAACGCTATAGAGAAGAGCCAGTAGTGTGAATAATAATAAGTTTCTTGATAATTCTGTTACCTTTTGAAAACAATTGGTTTTTCCATTTTTCATATTATGTTCATTATTTATGTCTAGAATAAAAATTGTTGAGGTTTTCATAACGATAATAAATTTGTTTATAAATATAATTCTCGTTTCAAGATACTTAACGATCCTTTTTTTATTTCAGAGCTGCCTATGTGTCTTTCGGGGGCTTACTCATGCGTCTACAGGGAGATGCCAACAATTTACACAGTTTTGAAGTTGACCAACATATGTACCTCTTGATGAAGAAAATATTCATGTAATTCCTTTACTTTAAGACTTTTAAGTCCAAACTGTTAGTCCGTAAGAAAGTTTTAAATAAAAATTTTGTAATTTTGTGTTTGTATTTATTCTAAAATATAAGGATGGCACGAAAACTGCCAACCTTGAAGGTAGCATCAAACTTCTGTAGTCAACACACTATAGACTGCCAAACACATTATAGACGATGCTAAAAAATTAGATGGACAATATCCAGCTTATCTCCATTTAAATCGCCAGGACCTGACGGTATCTAACCAGCCCTACCTCAGTGGGGTCTGGAAGAACTCACTCCGCACCTGGTGGGTATATTCAGATCCTCGATGGCTAGATATATATTTTATATCCATGAGATATAATTTATAGACATGCAAATGTCCATAAATAATAGTAATTATATAGCAAATTATTAAAAAATTACGCCATTGTGGCTAATAGTACCGTTCAGATATTTAAAATTAATTTTTTAAGGTGTATTCAATATCCCATGAACATCCACTAAATATATCAAAGTCTAGGCGCGAACGCAAACCATCGTGGATATCCACTAGATGTTATTTGATTCTGCTTACTAAGTATAGATGGCGATACCACTATCGCATCTACTCATGCTCGACCCGCCGTAATAGAGTTCGATCGAAATGTTTGTTCTACAGACTCCATTAGAGACTGGAGTCGAGAATTTCCATTTATTGCTGAAGAGTTCTAATAAGGATGACTTTCTCCTTAGTGGGCAAAATATTTTGAGTGTTGAAAATATTTTATATCTCTGCTATTTTCTTTCGACGTTATTCAATAATCATTGGTTACTTATAGGGATGTCGATTTTTCCAAAAAAAAATTGATTTTTTTGGATCGATCTAGATCGCGCTTTTAAAAATCGATCCACTAAAAGATCGTTAATATTAAAATCGATCTATGAAAAATCGATTTTTCGATTTTTTTTTGTTTTAGCTTGTAAAAAAATTAACACAATTTAAGTTTACTTTGTTTATTTTAATCTAAACACCAATTTTTCTCTCCGAACAATTCAAAAACAACAGCCTATCAAATCTTTCAGGAGTCAGCCTGCTTCTGTCTTCGGTTAGGATTTGGCCTGCTTCTGAAAGAAGCCTTTTAGATGGTACCGATGTAGCAGTAATACAGAAGTATCGTAGAGCTATTTTATGAAGGTTCACAAACATTTGGAAGTTCCAAAATGTAGTGGGGTTTGTTTTTTTCAAATCTTCCAATGGTTGGTTTAAATAAAAACCACCAAAAATGCCGAAACAAAATTCCCGTCCGGCGTGCGTGCAATAAAAATGGAGGTTAGGTTAATTTATTTTCTGCTTTTTTTCTTCTTGTCATTTGTCATTAATTATTGGTCTCTTACCGTTTAGGATTTACGTGTCTGCTTACGTACAGCAGGATGAAAGAAATTGGTTCAGGTTAGAACGAAAACTGAATCGTAAAAATTTTAAATAAAGTAGAAAAATCGGCTTCGATTCGCCGAGTAGGTGAATCGATCTCCGGATCGATTCTATGCTCTCGAATCGATCCAAAAAAAAACGATTTTACTACTAAAAAAGATCGATCTTCTGATTAATCGATCTCAAAACGACGTCCCTAGTTACTTACGAACCTCTACTAAAGATACCCATAAAATATTTTGTTGAATATATCCGAATATCTTCTATATCCTGGGATATAGACGGACATTTGGTTGGATATCCATATTGGATATATTGAATATCCCACAAAATATATTCTGTGGATATCTCTGGGATATCTTGTATTTTCTGGAAGATACCCATTAGATATTTTGCTGAATATCCATTAGGATATCTTCTATATTCTGGATATAGACGGACATTTGGATATCCATATTAGATCCACGGAATATTTCTGATATCCTGTAGATATATTGGATATCCACAAAAGATATTCTGTGGATATCTCTGGGATTTGGTGTGTTGTCTGGGTATTCGTGTACTAGAACAAATTCAAAAAACAGCATGTCTCAACATGATAGGAGTCATGAAAACAACACCGACCAGAGCCATAAATTTGGCTTTTACGCCATTCAATAAGACTGATTACGGCTTTAAATATGGAATCCGCTGTCGCTGATACAACTTCTATTAGTCCAAAGAATGAGTCTACAACCTTTTTTTCTATTTGGCTAAAATATCTTACTATAATAACTAAACATTTTTTTGCTGAAATGTCGGTAGTCTCGTCTATTATAATAGAGAAAAAACACTTTTTTAAAATATCTGCTAAGGCAGCCTGAGAAAAAGGGCCAATCTTATTATTCACTAGACTTGCCGCTTTAGTTCGAGAGCATTTCACTGATTGTAAGACAGATTTTTCTGGTAGAGAGCAAATAAATTTGGGTAAATGTTCAAATAGTACGAATGATAGATTGTGCTCCATAGCAAACATTACTAATTTTAGCTCAGTTGATTTTACTTCTTTGTTAAATAGATTACTGGGGACCTTCGCCAAAGTTGTGGGTATGTCTACTGTACCTTGAAGCTTTCGTTCATTTTTCTTATGAATCTCAGATTCGGAGTGTCGTTGCAAGTGTTTCTTCCCGCCAGAAAGAGACTTGTTGCAGAAAGTGCAATATGCTTTTTGGGATTTTTCTGTTAGCCATTTAAATTCCTGAAAAAAATCATATAATAATTTTTTTTTGCGCGCCGAGTTTCAATCTCATCCAATAAATAACAGCTTACCTTAGTAGGTTATTGTTAAATAATGGAAATAAATATATATTATACATCATGTTAGCACTTACTATTTTCCAATTTTCTCGGTACTTCACATCATAAATTTTACGTTTACGCGCCGTTGGATCGCTATCCACTTTCATAGAGGAATCCTGGGCGTTTTCATTGGATTGATCATCAAATTCATCGCTACTGGTTTGGCTTTGGTGTGAAGTTGAAGCCTGATCCGTTTCTGATTGTTTCACAATTTTCGTACGAATAATGAATCTAAAATTTTAAATCGATTCCTTGAAATAACAAACTGAGTTATTTAAATGTAAGACCGAACCAAAAAATAATGTCCATAAATTAAATTTTAGAATTTTTTATGAAATAGGTTTGGCTCTTTTTCGCACAAGAGGTAGATCTTTGAATAGCCTTTATATTGCATAAAAAATATTCCTGTAACTGGAGCCCTTTTGTCCTACTAATCAAAGAAAATTTTAATCATGGTTATTATTTTTTGTGGTACATACCTACGAATACTACCAAGAAATCTTGAAAGCTAACGATATATACAAATCACACTTACCTATCCATTTTCAAAATAAAATACAAAAAATACTATTTCAGCCTTAGTACTATTAGGCAATAATCAATGTAATCACAAAAGCGAAGAGCAGATAAATAAAACGATAGACAAAACAAAGGAATCAAAAATAAACTCAGTTCTCAGTCCCAGGAATAGGAATATAACTCTGTGAATTACTCATGTCAATCATGGGAATCACCGAGAAGCGGCGCCATCACGCGAACTGTCGCGAGCTGACCAACCGCGAAATCCCAGAAGATAACAGTCTTTTTCTTCTCATCATGCTCTGTATGTTGCCAGGTCGAGCAAGGGTTGAATAATTCGCTAATAGATGGCACATCTATTAATTTGAATGTAAATGTAGAATAGTTTTAACTGAAGTTGAACCAAACACGTGTGTTAGATTAAATTCAAATGTATGTATTCGTATCGTATTTGTATTTTATTTCGGTTCGTATAGTACTTTATTATGTCTGGTATTCAATTCAATTTCGTACTGAAAATGGGGTAGTTTTTAAAATGTAGTACTTGCGTACTGAATGAACGTTTTTTGTACTGAATTCAGTACAATTGTACCGAAACGGCAACACTGTCGAAAGGTATAACCGTCTTGCTGATTCACTAGCCAAGAAAGCAGCCAATCAAATACTTTTTGGACCTGTCCCTTCTATCAGTGTTGCCGTTGCTATTACAATTGTAACAAATCTATTACTAAAAAAGTTCATTAGTACGTCATTTTAAGAAAAAAGGAAAAATCTATTACTTTTTAAAATATCGAAATTTTATGAGTGGCTCTATCCAAGCTTTAGAGACCATACTTGAAAAATTTAGAAATCTATATGTTTATTATGTGTGTTTTCTTGTTTCAACAAATCCAAGATAGGCGTCACTTTATTATAGATTATTTTTTTTGTTATGGGTCAGTGATTACCACCAACCTCCAGCATTTCAGCATAATTTATATTTTGTTTATAATAACGTAGAAGCCCTCATTTTATATTTAAAGTACGACTATAGCTATTTATACATGTAATAACTTCTTCTTTAATAAATAAATAATATTAAAACCAAATTAAGAAAACGTTTAAATATGGAAACATGTAATTCCATTAATTTTAACTAAGCAGTTATTGAATGAAAATAACTGATGGAATTTTGAGCCGAATGACGCTTTGTTAAATTATAATGAAAATGATAATTTACAATGTGCAGAAGACATGATATTTTAAACATTTATTTACATGTGTATACATTATGGGTCGTGTGATTGAACGCTTACGTTATCCGTAACTTATACGTTAGGCCGAGTTTTAACAGTAACAAGGCAAGTTCGTACGATGGAAAACTTGTTCCAACACATTACGGTTATTTTCCGCCTGTTATGTTCTAATTTAACAGGTTACCATCATACGAACTTGCCTCATTACTTTTAAAATTCGGTCTAACATGTACGTTACGGATAACGTAAACGTTCAATCATATGACCCTATGATTGACAACCTTTGTTAATTTTAACAGGTCTGTTATTTTATAAACACACAGAAATAACAACTTATTCACAAATAACGTGTCTGTTAAAAATAACATTACTTGTCCATCATAACCCCTTATACGTCCTTACTTATTTTTGTTTGAAAAAAAAAAATTATTTTTATAATTCTGGTTTTTCTTCATTATACTGTTTGAAATTTATTATTTTTATTAACCAAAACGATATATTTGATAATACAAGGTTTCATTGTTATTTAATATTAGTTCTGGTACATTTATGTTACTTTAAAATATTATCTATTAT